GTGTCAGCAGCTAACTTCTACTATGTCTGCCGGTAACGGAACCATAATTTGTTCCCCGAACTGTATGAACCGGCGTCTGCATAAAGAGCATATACTCATCACTCGTTTATCAGCGCCGGTCCGACTGATACTGCAATATCGCTGTCAGATGGAGGCGAAGACACGCGCCACTCCACAGTGCTCTTCCACCGCATGAAAGTTACGTGTGATCAAGGAAGTAGCAGGTTGTCGGTTCGGAAAAGAGCTGGATGTTTTATTGACTGATTGCAGTTCGAGTAACTAAGTCTGCTCCACACTCACAAACTGCTATTAATCAAAACAGGTGACAGATTTCGTAAGCTGCCGTTTTGAGTCCAATTGCTGGAACGATTCGCATCCAGCGCAGGAGCGTTTACCTGAAGCAGCTCTTGCGCAATGTGACCGAATTGCACGACCTTTATCAAACAAATACGTGCTTGGCGGAGTTTTCTTAGTCTGATAACACCGGAAGGTGAATTCGTTTTCTTCGACGTGCTCATCATATTCAATAGGTATTGCCTGTAACGCAGTAACCAAGCCACGACCTTATGTAGTTTCATCCAACAGAAAAACCTAGACAATAGTGGGTACATGACATCATTTCACTCCAATCGGTTAGACTGTGCTACAAGGCTCTTTGCCTCGACACCATCGGGCTGGGCGCCATTCCTTCATATAGTGGTGAGGGCTCCTATCTAAAGTTGTCATGCTCATGCTGCTCACCGTTAATGTGTTCACAAAACTTCACGGTTTTGGTTGTGACTTATTATGAATCATAAATGTAAACTAATATATATGTATATATATGTATAGGTGTACATGCAAATTGTTGGAAAACTCAGATAGGTTTAATCGACGTTTTACTTTTGGCTGCCCATATGCAGAGACATAAAGGAATTTTGCCAAAATAGGTTGATTTTACAATTCTGAAATAGATTATGTGCGCTGGGTCCATATTTCGGAGTAATCTCTCCGGGAATTCATGATTACCAAAGCCGGAAACCTATATTTCGGGACACTTACTGAAATATTATTGTAATTGTCGATGATGTTATCATTTATTACAGTCAGGGGACATTGGAATTCCTATCCTATCACTGTAACCTTCAGCTGTTGCAACAAGGCACTTTTGGGGAAACGAAATATCACATTTTAGATGTCCTTGAACCTTGGAGTGAAAAACGACGTTCAACTGCCTGTAACGGAAAGTCTGATGAATATTGCACGCTGCAGTGACGAAAGTTGCATTAGGCAGAATGGAAATCGTGGATAGTTTTATTTATTTCAAATTTTCTGAACGCATACTTCACACGTGTTTCTGATCATGTGCCCTTTGCAAGTCAGGCGATCTCACCGACGGACAGTTTAATAATTGGAACACTGGAATTTTTCCCATGTGTTGAACAAAGTTGGATAAAACACAAGCACTTCCTCTCCATCCGTGGGGATATTACAGAATAGTGTTGAATTTACGCCATGATAATTTTTGTGGTACATGGAGGCAGATGCTAATTTGCAGCAACAGTTTGTGATGCGTAACCTATGTTACGCTGCATGGAAATTGTTGACTCATTTTTTATTCATTATAGAAATGGCCAAACGGAGAGAGATACACATGGAAAGCAATTCTCATTGGCATACGTTGCGAGGCTACATTGGTCTACAAAGCGTTGATTATCTGAACCAATTTTTTTACCTAGGCTGTGCGTGCCAACCTAAACATAGCATTCCTGATTCAATTCGTCAAGAGCTTCTCCGTGCACTCGCAATATTTTCGAAATCCCTTCAAAACATACCGTCTTATTAACTGGCTTATAACGGTAAATTCGTCGTTAACCAGCAAATTTAATAAAAAAAACAGGCTTATGATAGATATTAATATTCAAGTTTCCTGAGTGAATTAATCTTTAAATTCGTAAAACACTAAAAATATATTCTTTTCAAGGGCATGCGTCAAATCCAATTCGACACAGGATACTTATAAACGAAATCAAATTATCAATTATCAAATTATCAAATAATCAATTATCAACCAAATCGCATGGCAACTGAGCAAATCGCATGGCAACTGAACAACTCGCATGGCAACTGAAAGATTGGCAGACCCGAATGTCAGAAGAACTTACAAGAATCGTCTTCTAGAGTCTCTTCCAAGTGCTCCACCATCAGATGTGAACTCATACTGGGACGAGATTGCTACCTCTTTGCATAGTGCTGGGAAATTGGCCTGCGGCACGACCCAACCAGGCGCACTCAAGCACTGGATAT